TACACACACAGATCTAATCATGGGCCATTTTATGCCAGTTGGCACTGTGGTAAAGCTATCTAACTGCAATTTCATGTCTTGTGCATAAGTAATGTGGCACGCGCACCCTCAGTGTGGTGCGTGCGGTACAGATTACACCTTTGCACCTGTTCCTTGATCCGTGACAAGTGTTTAGACTTGTAGTGTTGCTCTGAGTCCAGAGGAAGTATGCCTGATTCGCGCAAGAGAAATAGTATCAGTGTTGTCCAGTATATGGGCAGAATGGCTCTAGCGCGCGCCATGATGACCGTACGCAGAGCGGACACATATCCTTCAATTTGGTGGGTGGCAGTCTTGTCGATAAATCTGCGGCACTCCGGTCTCCAGGTCTCAGCTTCATATTAAGCTGAAGGGAGGACATAAGATGTTACTGCCATACGGATAAGTTGAGGAGAGACACCTCGCACGGTATTGCCGAGGGACCGGAGAGCGTTAGCTATCTTAAGCCACTTTTCCGAGTGAGTGAGGACACGCCATTTGAAGGAGTGCGACCGATAAAAGTGGAACCCAAGCCAGCGGTTGTAAGGTCTGGTTGTGTTTTTAGAGATCGAACTCCCTCTACAAAATAACAAGGGGGCTGATGATGCATTTCGATAAGGTAGACTCCTAGAAAGGTGTTGAATTTCTGATTTTGCTAGGTCGAAGGTAATATCTTTCTTTCTTTCCAGTCTAATGCTTCCGCCAGCGAGTAAGAGAGAGCCTTTCAGTTACCCAGGAGGTCAGGCCCTGTCTCAAGGAGAGCAACATCATCTATATAGCCGAATCTTTTCCCCTCTATTCCCATTTTGAAGAGCGGGGAAATATAGAGCATTAACAGGATGAGCGAGGCTGGTGAGCCTTGTGGAAGACCGCAATCTACATTCTATGTGGGGCCTTTTACTCCATCGAGACAAACGCACACCGCACACTGAAGAGCGTGAGGCGAAGTATCTCGCCCAGCGCACCAGGTTCTCAGGCCAGCCTTGCTCTCGTAAACGGTTTCGAAGTCTCTCTTGACATCTAAGGTAAGCATACTGGCGGTGGAAGCCTCATAAAGTGCCTTTTCTGTGTCGTGGGTAATGTAGGTAGCTAGATCAAGAGCCGATATATCTCGGAGAGCGCCTAATTGTTGGCTCGATACCACCTTATGCCGGATATGTCGAAGGCTAAGGGTGGCCGCCGAAGAAGTTGGATAGGGAAATGTCTCGGGTCGAAAATAGAGTCTGTTCATACGTACGTGGGTTTTTTGCTTGATTCTGTGCTTTTATTCTGATTTAATGACTGCAAGTTATATGTTCCTAGCGCGTATCTATATTTAGAGATAAAGAGGTCCAGTGCATCATGACCAGTGTAAATAGTCCTAGAATCCCGGAAAAAATAGGAATTAAGTTGTTTTTACTGAGTTTTCTTTTCCATTAATTATGTACACTTCACCTGCCACAGGTCAGGCTCCCAGTTGTCTCGTAGTATATCAGTTCAAGCCATTCTTCTTGCAATAAGTCGCCCTCATTCTTTGCCTAGTACAGAAAGGTATGTAATTGAGCAGTAAGATCGGGGCAAAGAAGATTCTAAATTGTTCGGCTTGTGAATCATCAACAGCAAAGCCTGCCGGAAGCACTTAAGATGGTGCTCATTCGAGAGACACGCGTTAAAAAAAATACACTTTTTTCTGATAAATTAAATGCCACACATGCTGAATAATTGCCGTAGGTGTTTCGTCTGCATCAGGGACAGTGTGTGTGTGTTTATTGTGCTACTTGAGTCTATGACTATCTGGCACATTGGGCTCATCTCTGACACAGGCTACACCTTGTACAGTGCTCCTATCCTCTTTTGTTACTTGAAAGATCATTGATGTATTCCCCTTGATGAATAGCCATTCAGCTCAGTGTTTACCCGTTGAATTCGGCCACCTTTTACACGGAATCTTCTACCCAAAAAAGTAAAAATTGTATCAGTGGAAATTGTATGAGCGGGAAAAAGTCTCAAAAAACCTGCAGCCCCAGACAGGCGAGGCCTAGACACCGGGACCACATGAGACGCGCATATTCATCTATGTCTCCCTTCTTTGTAACAGTCGAGGTCGACTTGATCCAATCCGCCATCGCAGTATCGGGTGCTGGGTACGCTCCGGAAACTCATCAGATGGCTTTTCCTCCATGATCAAGGGTTGGTGATGAGAAGGGCTCCGACGCTACAATTTGATCTGATCGTGGTTAGCTTCATGATAGTGGTGATAGGGGAATGCGTTGAGAGATGAAGACGATACAGACCGCGAAAGCGATTGGGAACCCTTATCGAAGTGAGGACAGCATTGTTCAATCTCGGCTCTGCAGACTATACAGTGAGAGCTGGAGGTTTGTAGGCAACATCGCTGACTGGCGTTGAGAATAGTCCCCCGGTGTGACGAGTAGTTTATTGTGATAATTGGTCATTTTGCGAATTTGTTTCATCTCTGAACTCTTGAGAAAGGGCGTGCTTAGTAGAGGCCTAATCTAATTTTCTTGTGACCCTCTGGGATACTGGCAGGTGCCATAAATTTCTCGACATAAGAGGCTCTCACAACCTGAGTTGCACTTAGACTCAGCTCCGCAGACTCTACGGGGAGGGCTTGGGTTCCGTAGGGGACAGTTGAAAGCGTAGAGTCTTTGTTTCTCTGCAGTACACCTACCTGAAACTGACGCCAATGTCCTTCACAATTCATTATCACAGAGGCATCATATATTCCTACCGGATATGCTCCCATCATTATCAACCTACTTTCGTCGCGTGTCTCTAGTTTGAACGGAAATTCTGCATCATGAACATTCCTCCGTCCCCGAGTAGAGAGCCTATTCATGATTTGAATACAAAAATACCCGTCTGTCGAATGACATAAGATGAGTGGTGTCGGGGATGCGGCAGAGCGATGGTACGTGCACATTGCATTGCTTGCGCTAGACCATCTACCGTTGCGTAAGGTTCTTGGCTATTGATATTTTCACAACAGGAGCGAGAGTAGTAGTCAGTAAAGGGGACTCAATAACTTTTGACTTCGGCGGGGAGGGATCGCCTTCAACGTGATTCCGATCATGTTAGTTTGCCGTCAAACTTCTGTCGGGTGTTCTGGGAAGGTTAAAGGTTAAACTAGCTACCGCACTTGGAAATTGGTAGTCACCGATAATGTTTCCTTGTTTTGCGTTCAGATGTGGTTTGATCGTTGATGTCATGTCATTTGCAAGGAAATGTGATTTAATGAAGTCTACTGACAGAGAGAGGTCTTGCTGGATTCATCTGGACTTAATTTCTTCTCATGGAGTACACGACGCATTTAGTGGCTGTCATTTGTTTTTTTAACAATTCTTCCCTTTTAAATACACCAAGAGATTATGCACTAATTATCAGTCTCTGGCCTATGGCTATGTCCCAGGGATTATTGTATGAGGCACTCGTAGAGATAAGAGCCTAATTAACCCTTGACAGATACCTGCCATCACATGTAACACGACAATGTGGCATGTAGTTGGAGATCGAAAAGGGATAGAAGTCGTCATCTAAAGAATCTACCCACGTACTCTGCAGCAACTTCTCCATCGAAGCGTCTGTAGAACTCTATCAGAACTCTAAATAAGTGTCGAATGAGCATTCTAAGAGTGGGAAAGCGCATGTAAAATTTTTAAGGAAGAGCGACTATTTTCTCATCAGGCATCGGCAGACCTAGAACATTGGAAAGCAGCAAGTATCATCACTGACAAGAGAACAGGCAGAAAAAAAATCACCTACAGAGACACACCCTCTAACATCCACCGAGACCTGAGCAGGGCCCAGTGCAGTATTGCAATACAGATGGGAAGCGAGTATATTGGCCTCAACTCCTGTCTATGTAGAAGAAAGGTACCTGGAGTGACAAATCCAAAGTGCCAGTGTGGATATCCGGCACAAAACGTGAAATATATGGTCATAGCTTGTCCTAAATGGGCTAAGGGAAGAGGACAGGTACTGCAACAGGCAAAAGATAGGTCTTCTGAAGCTATGATGAACAGCCCGGATGACATGAGAAGAATTACAGAGTGAATACTAAGTAACGATTGGCTTGAAAAGTTCCGGCTTGTAGAAGAAGTTGAGATAGCAGTCATTGAAAAGATTGAGCGATCGGGTAAAGGAGAGGACGGTATTCACAATAGACGTACAGTGTAAACGTAGTTCCTGTAGGACAACTCAGAAAATCAATAGACACGAGATAGACAGTTTTGGGGGGTTTTACCGAATTGGTTTCCTCTCTTGTAAATATTATAACTAGATATACGTGCATGGGCCCATAGGGTACCTGAACGGGCTTATTGGAATCAAAGCGTGGAATGGATATGGGCATCAAGTTATAACGTTTTTCCGTTGATTAGAAGATACGACATTAGTTCCAGGGAAGAATAATCATCGGCTAACCATCAAAGAATCTTGAGTCTTGAAAGATGAGAGCTACGTTGGTGGAAAGGAATATTTATTTTAAAGCAAACAATCTCATGACAGACAATGTTACTATTTAATAACAGAATTCACTCGAGCCGTAACTTCACATGAAGACAAGAAAAAAAAGTAGAAAAATATGGTTATTTAACTGAGCTGGAATTGCCTAAAGAGGCGGTGTCAGGGAAGCCTTTCCCTGATTCCAGGGCTCGTTAAGTCTACCAACAATTTTTATACCCTTACGCACGGTTCAATGACTTCTAAATAATTGTCGTAGAGGGCATACCGTACTCCAAACGACAAAAGACTAATTAATCGGTGTCCAGCAAAATTCACTACACCTCCTTCACGATTTCATCAAGGTATTTTGCTCTATGCTTTGAATTCAAAGATTCAACAACTGGGGTTTCGCTTTTCTCCGGAAATCGTTTTCTTGCCAAATAAAGCTCAACCAATCTGGACTTTAATTAACATTTGTCCCCGAATGCATTACAGCGATTAACCTTCTCAACATTCAAAATCACTTCAACTTTAAAACGATGAGTTCTACTGTGAGGTCATCTAAACCAGATGAAATTTCAAAGGGTCGGTCCGGAAGTGCTAGCTCTTTCGCGACATATATGATCATTTGTCGTGAGCGAATCAAGTCTTATCATATATCCTGGGCTAATGTGACTACACAGCCGTGTGCTTTTTTCTGGGCATCCTCTTTTCGTCCCTTCCATACGACTATCCACTTCTCTGGACTTCTGAAGCTACACCGCACGCATACTATGATCAGCTAGAAACCCACCTAAAATTTCTTCATGCTTCACCTCCTCTCATCTCACGAATGCTACACATTTTTATTACAATCGGGTTTTCTGGATTCTTCATCAAGCTTTTTAAGCCATCGGAGGCAAATCTTTTATTCGACGGCGCCTCACTTGTTCTTTATGTTATAGGAGTTGTAGTCTACATTTCAAATATAGTAAAGGGATTGAGAATCGTAACATCGGGGAACTACGGTCTGAAAGAAGGTAATACAGAACTAGCCATTGGAAGAGAAGAAAGCTTGAAAGTTCTGGCTGCAAGCAATACCATCCTTGCACTCGTCCTAATCGGTGTGCTTGTGCTTCAAGCTGGTCAGTGGTATGCTGAGCGCAAAGAATTGGATGAGGTAGCGCAGTTTGAAGCAGCAGAGAAAACCACCTTTGCAAAGAACTCACGATCTATGAGTGTACCGCACGTGGTCAAGGCATCGGCGAAAAAGAAACAGTAGGTATCCTCGACCACAATATTGGATGGCAGTGCTGGGTCCTTGGCCACCAACACCAGGCTGAGAAATATCTTATTGTTTCGATTATTGTGTTCCCTTGACGCGTCGATTTATATCCACTTTTACCTCTGGAATAATGCAGTAATATCCATGAGCGTGCGATAGTAGTATTTCAATATCTGACTTCCAAGTATATAGGAAGGATCGACTGATACAGACTTATCCATACTTACGAAATCAAGAGCTCCTGATCACATCTTAGTCTCCTACCTCTATCACTCTTGTCATCCGCTTAACTCACGACAACGAACATTTTGAACGGATTAAAAAAATCTACCGACACTATAGTCAGTTTTTATTAATTCCAAGTCACAATTTTCTGGAATCTAGAGATCTTACTTTTAAAGTTCACAAAGTGTTGATCACTTCTGCTCATCTGTAGAGGAATGACATGGCCATCTAGCTTCTCCCTACAACAATTTACAAGCTTTAAAGCGAATTAAAATTATCTAGCCAATCTGACAGGAGACTTTCCATAGATAACTATGCAGAATATGATCCTTGAATTCTACCCATTCTCAGAATTACATTAGTTGCAACAATGACCGCACTCAATAGAGTTCTCGTAAAACCCGCTCCACATCCAATGTCTCACCGATGATTAGTCAAGATGTATTTTTTCTCTTTTGGCGGAGAGCGCCGCCTCATTGAATAAAAAGTTTGTGCAACCTGTAAATAGCCCCGGCTATATTACTACATTTGGAATCGATACTAATTTGTGATATAATACTAACTATGCTCTCGAAGTGCAGATATCGTAAGTTTTCCACCGCCACTATTGTCAGCGCTGTTGTGTCTTTTACCTGCGACTGGAAACTCGATGCTTTCATTTCGCTTCTCTGAAATTCTTCTTTGAAACACGGTTTCCATCGTCAAATATTGTGCCTACCACCATCCTTCGGTGACGCCATGTGCTTCGTATTAGATGAGACACTCCGTGGCTCGATGACCGCACGGAGCTTCTAATTTATCACAACGGTATTAGCTTTCACGTTATGGTACTACAAAAGGCACTGTTTTAACTAGTGTAGACAGAAGACTTAATATTGGGTTGGTCGTATACTGCTGTCATCTAATTAATCATATGATCGCTAGTCTCCTCCAAGAGGCCATGTGCAAACAACCTGGTCCAGGATATCCCATTTTTCAAATATACTCCTAAACCAACACCGCTTCGCTCGTTATTCATAGGATCTAAAGTAACATAGATTACGCATATCCATGTCTCACTTGTGAGATTGGTGACCAATCGCGAGGAGACTCTTCAGCCGAGTAGTTGGCCATTACTGGCTTTGCAGTATGGATACTTATCGACGGCCGACCTAATATATTGGTAGAGCTTGCCACGCACCCTAGCCCATCAGCAGGCCTCCGTGATTGCTTGATTTTCTTGGATACCTCTAGTGGGCTCTCTGGAAAGTCCCGCGGTGTCGTGTCACGCTGACCTACTATTGAACCGGCAGCAGTATGGGCGAGATTATCGTATAGACTTAGATCACTTAAGTCAGAATCGCATGATTTCAAGGGAGTATCTGTTCGGCTCTGACTTCGGAAAGATCTTCGAATCTTCAACGGCACCGGCGGCAAGAGAGTCTGCTGCGAAATACCACGGCCTCCTAATTCTAAGTTTGTAGCATAGCTAGTCGAGTGGGAGAAGATACTACCCCGCTTTTCGAGAGAACCATTGACAAACGTCTTGGGGAACTGAGGTTGCTTTCGAAGGAAGTCTGACCGCAAATCTCCAATCAGTCGAGGCTGTGAGATGCGTCCAAATTGTGTACTTTGTAGTGATTTTTCTTTTCGTCGCCGCCAAGTTACAGCCCAGGCAAATATTGAGGCGGCTAACATTAAACCTACAACTAGACCAGGGAAAAAACCAGCTACTATAGCCCTCGCAGTATGGTCAAGACATGAATTTCTCGGCGAAGACGTTAGTTGAAATGCACTACTTGTGGGCAAAGGTGAGTAGGTCGAGGTAAAGGCAGTGGATTCGAGCATGGAAGACGCCGCTACCGAAGTTGTTGGAGAAAGGATAGCGGGGAGCAATGAACCTGGTGGAAGGGATTGATCAGCGTTCTCTGCACAATTTCCAGCACTATTGCAGGTATAGCCAAATGGGCAGCACTTGGAGGCACACTTTTGTAGGCTCACACCTAGTGCATTGGTCTTGATGGCGGCATCTGGATGAGATGTGACGTTCTGAAGTTCGATATCGCAGCTGACTGGCTTGATCATGGAGCAATCGCTATCAGCTGGACAGCATAGAACAGTAGTATTACCAGCGAGCTCGACGCATTTGTGGGCAGCAGCGCAGCAGAAGTTTGGGTATGATCCGTGGCCACATGATACTTGGCCCGGTAGAGGACAAGTTGATGGCGAGGACGAAACTGCCATAGAGAGGTATAGAGAAGCCAGGGTTAGGCACTTGGTGAGATTTAGTATAATCATGTTGAAGAAATGTGTAGGACGGATGAGCCGTTTCGTTCGGGAAATCCCGGGAACATGCGGAAAGTCGGGACAAAGAACCAAAGTGGAACGGTAGTCAAAGAGGAGAGCTCTGAGCTAGATGAGACAAGCTTCTAGGGATAGACAAGGTATAGACAGCTGGCTTGGTGGGGAGAAGGATAGATGAGACAAAGAAGGCAGGATGAAAGGTAGGGAAGAGGGAAGGGCACTTGTTGATGGACCCAAGGGCTAGTGAAAAAGATAGCATGTAACCTCAAGACCGGAAGGGCGCCAACCCCCGGGGACCTGTGAAGTAGTGAAGAGCATTTGTTCATTGAGCACCGCCAGAATGTGATATTCAGGCTAGTGAGAAAGTTGGGCTTGCCGGGATTTCCCGGGTTAGTCGTTATATCGAAGAGTACAACCCCCAGTAAGACAGACAGACACTCGAAGGAAAGTAGCGGCGCCTCCCTTAAACCCATTTGCCTCGAATATTCCCAGCACCCGACTCTCTGGGGTCGTTCCAGGGCATCAACGGCTGGTCGCGTATGATGCCCGGCAAGCGATTGGCCAGTCGCGATCTGAAGTGAAATGATTGGGCGCTTCACTGGCGCGTCGAGTTCCGACGTGTCAAATAAGGATGGCTGGTACAAAGCTTTCGGTGGGATGACAGCTTCTAGTAGGGACAATCAAGAATAAGCCGACTCTAACGCTGCCATCTTTTTTCCACGGACGCGCTTGCAGCTGCTTTTACCCGCGATCACACCCCTCAACCACGTCTCGCCAGACGACATGTACGCGCAACGCGGGGCTGCCACGGTTTCTCATTCCGTTGCTGGGCCATTCGGAGCACAAGTTTCCATGTGTTTGCGTAGGAGAAGGCTTAGGGCAATAGCAGTGTGCTGTCGAGGTCAAGGTGGGCGGCCAGGCTGTATCGAGCAGACGCAGATGGGATGACCACCTGTCACAGGATGGCTGATTTCGGCAGCAAAACTATAACCGCTCCGGCACACGACTGTCATTGGGGAAAAAGGGGAAGTTAGAGGCAAATTGAGGAATCTGTTGCAGGTCGCATAGAAAGCAAGCCAGTATGCGGCTCGCTTAGGGCCATGGCTTGCAGCGTGAGACGTAGTCAGCTGTTCCGTGACTGGCATGATGTTTCCATCAAGGCCGCCTGCAGTTGTGGGTAGTACCAGTCACACCCACCGCCAGACCTACTTCGGGCTATCGATGATTAACACGAGGCTCTCTCGCAATCTTGAGATGCAAAGAAGTCCTTGGAGGATGCATCTATCGCCGAAACAATGTGCACGAAGCTGTTGCGTTACCCATACATACCTGGTCAGTAGCTGTGTTTCATCTTTAGTTATTGTGAAAGCTAATTCGTCGAGTACGTTTACAAGGGTAGATAATGTTTAGCGTCGCGCGCTCCTAGTTCAGGTATCTAAATAAATAGACTATTTACACAGATGAGACAACAGACAGAAAAAGTATTACCTATAGAAACACACCCTCAAATATCCACTGGAACCTTAGCAGGGCGCAAAGTAGTATTGCAGCTCAGATAAGAAGTGAGCATATTGACCTCAATTCTTATCTGTATCGAAGGAAAGTCCCCGGAGTGATTAATCCAAAATGTCAGTGTGGATATCCGTCTCAAAATGTCCAACATATGGTCTTCGCGTGTCCTCAGTGGGCAATGGGAAGAGGAGAGGTGCTTCGAAAGGCAAAAGACAGGTCATTTGCGGTAATGATGAACAGCCCAGATGATATAGAGAGAATCATAAAATGGATCCTGGCAAAAGTCTGGTTTGAAAAATTCCGGCTTGCAGGAGAAGTAGAAAAAGCATTGGACGATAAGATGAGACGATGTGGACAAGGATAAGACAGATTTCACACTGTGTAAACAGTGTAATCGCACTTCCTGTAGGAAACCTCGGAAATAAAGTAGACACAAGACAGACAGTTGTAGGGGGTTTTTACCGAATTGGTTTCCTCCCTAGTAAATATTATAGCTAGATAAATCAGCATGGTCTCATGGGGTACCTGATCGGGCTAAATGAAATGAAATTAAATGAAATTAAATTATTTAATTGTCCTGATTAGGCGCCTCAGGGCCTACGTAGGTTTTTTGGGAAGATATGTACTTTAAGTAGGATGACTCGTTTTAACGTTTAGAACACTCACACTCAAATTTCATTTGCAGATACCATTCGAGGTTAACCCTTACGCCATATAACCTCTTCCGTGCATACCCACCACAGGGAAAAGCGGGAGAAAAAAATTGGTGATCCGAATGTGATTTCATCATTCCACAAATATAGTGTTGCCGCTGGAGAGTGTGATGTATGGGTCTTTAATGGATTCGAATTAGCTTTCTCTTGTCTCAAATGGGGCGAGTATTCAAGCTACCCAGAATCTACTTGGGAGAACGACCCGAATGGTGTACCACTGCACCATCCAGCCCCAGTTTAGGTATATATTTTTTATGAAGAGCATACGGATCAATGGCAGCCCCTTCTGGCCGCATTCAGCTATGGCAGAAGTCTGGACTCTATCTACGGTGATGAGCCTCTCAAAATTCCCCGACTATTTCTTCTTTCCTCCCAAGTCTCAAGCGTTTCAAGCCAACGTTCATCCACTCAGAGTCAGATTACTGCCACTCTCGCTTCCATCGCCCGACTTCCAGGCCTCCTACGATCTGTGCGTCAAAGGCTGATAATCATCTTCGGACGACTTTTCACCCCCACCAGCATTTTTGCCAATTCTTCGTGGAATCAGCAATTTAACCGCGAGATCTGTCTAGCGGCTCGTGTCTAAATCAATAGTGTTTGTGTGTGGATTTATTGTGCGACCTCAATTTTTGACCATCTAGCACATTCGGCTCCTCTCTGGCCCAGGCCACATTTTGTACAGTGCTCCTATCCTCTTTTGATACTTCAAAGATCATTAATGTATTTATCAATTCATTTTATTGTCCTGTCTGAGTCTATGACTATGTAGGACATGCATGTCCTCTCTGCCTACAGGCCAAGGATGCCTAGACCAGTCGTATATTCCCTCCCGTGCCTCCTATACAGCTCCCCTCAAACGGTACCACCCCTCACAAGTCCTCATTCGATCATACACTTAGAGGAGCCCTTAGCCCTTCATTATCTCACCTCTCCAGCCAACGAAGCGATGGCCATTTGCGGGTGTATGGCAGCCGGGAAAAATCGCAAAAACCACTGGGTGCGGGCTCTTCTAAAACCGACATTAGGAATAAATCCGAAGACATATTGCCCCTTCTGACGCGTTCGAAGAGGCCGGCCAGCTGGATCATCAACGTATTGCCCATGATGAATAGCTGTTCAGATTTGTATTTATCCGTGAAACTTAGCCTCTCATTTCACAGAGCCTTCCACCCAAAAAAGTAAAAATTGTATCAGTGGAAATTGTATGAGCCGGAAAAATTCTCAAAAAACCTTGCAGCCTCAGCCAGGCAAGGTCTAGACACCATGACCACAAGTGGTGCGCATATTCATCTATGTCTCCCTTCTTTGTAACATTCGAAGCCGAGTTGATCCAATCCATCATCGCAGTATCGGGTACTGGGTACGCTCCGGAGGCTGATCAGATGGCCTTTTGTTAGAAATTGTCAAGGATTTCTAGGAGGAAATATCTCGAAGAACAAATGCACAATTTCGGACAAGAATCTATTGATAGTTGAACCCCACGTGACGAACTTTCACGAGACCATACAACCAGCGACCTAGATAGTCACTAGATTGCATTTCCCCTGTAACTAGATAGGCCTATATTCTATTCAATCCAACGACTTGTCCAGTTTAGATATTCGTACGAATTTTCATCTGAAACTGGCAAACCCTCATCGGATGAAGCCTAAAAGCTCAAACTAAATACATGACCACTACAAGCAAACCCACGTTAAAAGCGCTACGACAAATTTTCAATCATGTGGAATGTTTGTATCAATGTGAAGGTACATAATCTATCTTTTTTATTGATAAAATTATTGAATTGACGATAATTTTCGAAAATAAAACGATCTAACCAGCTGGAGAAATGATTCAACAAAATACTATACCACACAACCGATGCGAAAAAAATACTTTCGGACCAACATCAAAGATTTCTGCTCACAAGTAAAGACCGGCCGACACTGTTCTCTTGTAAGACGTTAACGGGTCCAAATTATTCGTAATTATCAACGAAAAAAATTCCAGATTGAGAAGCCTTTTTGGCGAAGTGAACTTGAAAGTAAACGAGGATTATTCAGACTCCAAAGTACTAGATTGGTATTTTGTAATTTATAAGTTACAAAATAGTCGAAATGTTACAGCGTCTTCGTTAAGAAAATGTATGAATTTTGTTCAAAAAATTTCATCCCTCTACAAGAATAAAATATAGTTCGTCTAGGCGATGTCTTCATCTTCTATCACTGCTTTCTTACATACTCCATTTATTATACTATCTGGGATAGCTAATAATCATCGTATTCGAATCAAGATCGAAAGTAAATATGTGCATTTCTAAAACTGATGAATTCTCATCATCCTTAGCTTTACCATTCTTGTGCGAGTCCTTCAACCAAATATAAACACAAAGTAACTCATATCAACCAATGATCAAAGAGCTGGCCAAATTCAAGACTGGGAATTACCTCATCAATCGTCGGTTACTCCCCACTTAATATTTATTAAGCTACAGAAGCCTGTAAAGAGAAAAGTAACCCATAGTATACATAGTATGAGCCATAGCATGTGAAATAAAATAGCTATAATAGGGAACTAAAGAGAGAAGAACTCATTGATAGGTATGCTGGGATAGGCAATTTCCGAGAGAGTTTCGGTCTATTGGTCTTTAGTGGCACAAAGGTCAAAATTATTAAAATATACGTACTCAGATCACTTGTATAACTTGATAAGAGACACTGCACAGCAAATGTATGGCGTAGATGAATCAGTATTGAATTGATATACCACAGTAGTGATATGAGTTGGGCCTTATAGAAATCCCCATCCGCCAAACTGTGTTCCAGTTATCTACTCTATTCTAAACGTGTCTCATTCCCTCGTATAACTGAGAAGCACTCTGTCAATGACTTGTGTCATCAAAGAATGACTACTCCTTCACTTGACAGATCGTCTCTACAGCTCATCGCTTACATTACTCGGTGAGTACTAACTGACGCGTCTATTGTCCAGACAGTGCACGGCTCGTATCTAAGCGAGTCGTGTAATCCGATACTGGAGGTTCCACGTTCTATCTATTAGGACATGATCTGTTTCTCTAACAAAAATTTCAAATATTGCTAATGGCACTTTGAAAACAGTAGGTGCCATACTTCTTTCTCTGGAAAGAGATGGAGACCAATGACTTCCATCAAGCGGCAAAGGTTTGCGGAAGAAAAGGGGGAGTCATAGAAACCAGTGTCTACGCGAGTAAAATCCAGAAGTATAGACAGGGCGCGGGGAATAAGACTTAGAGATTATGGTATCTTGTTTGTTTCTATTTCCAACGAATAAGACATATAGATATCATTAGGTCCTTAGGGATTACTTACCCGTGTCATATCCTTTCGTTGCAGGGCACGTGCAATACGTACAAACTCGCAACACAACATTTTGTGCCACCAAGAATAAGACACATTAATCACTTTATATCTTTGCAAATCATATTGCCAGTCATGTTTAAGCAACATCTAGAAGTCATTATAGAATTTAGGAAAATTTGAAGATAAATTTCGAAGCAGAAGGCGAAACAAATATGCTGGTCCTCTATTCCTCTATTAAATAAGTGTCGGAACGTTTTTTTTTTTGCATTAGATTTTAATTGCGTATGCAGCTATCTAGCTATGACACAATATCAAAGAAAAGTACAGAAAAGATGAGTCAATTTACAAGAGGAGCACTCACGCCTCAGATTTCATTTGCAAGTACCACTGCGTAATTATAGCAGCTTTTTCTTCACCCCAAGTCAACCCTCATCCGTGAATACCCACCCTGGGGAACATCTCAAAAACCCTGAGTTATCCAGACATGCCTCCGTCATCCATAAACTTTCCTCCGCGCGAAATGTAATCTGAGATGTCTCCTTCCCAAGTGGAGTAGGTGCCCAGGCTACTCAAACTATACCAGAGAACACTACCAGGAGGCAGATCACAACACCTTCCATCGTCGGCTTGTTATTATAGTGTCAGCTGCACTCTCGCAAGCGAAGTCTTGGCGCGCACAAAGCTCAATTCGTAAAACTCTTTCCAAAATTCGATTTTTTAAGCCCGTCGAAAACGTATCCCTCATCTTTATCATCTTGTATACTTGTCCTGATTCCTCTCACGTCCATCCCAAAGAGCTATCTCCCAGATTTGTGCTCCACAATTTGCTTCCTCCGTCGCGTATAAATATCGGCGTGGGCGTGTATTGGTGACCGGCTGAGGCCAGAGAAAATCGACGAAAGGTGTGGTCATTGAAACGAGGATGTACTAGGTCGTACCTGTAGACTTGATGAAGCTTAGTTGAGAATCGGACTCTTTGGGAGTGAAAGATTGACATGGTGGAGTTATTTGAATTTTTGCCTCGGGCCAACTGATTTGATATTGCGAAATTTGACTGAACTTGACTCTGGGAGAACATTTCACTCCCAGGTTTGTAGAGGACACCGCATACAGGTGTTCAGCCTTGCACTCCGTCGGAACGATTAATTCAGTTGAGCCTATTTTGGGGTTGAACTTGGTGGTGCCTGCATGATGTTTGAAGATCTTTCTTTGTAATTCCCTTAAATCGGGTAAACTATTATCCGAGGATAGATACTAACTTCGTAGCTATAGTTTAGGGGAGATATATATATATTTATAGTTCATTTTACCTGATTTGGCGCCTTGAGGCCCATGCAGGTTTTTATCGGAAGATATGTACTTAAAGTAGGATGACTCAATTTGACGATTAGGACACTCACACTCAGATTTCATTTGCAGATACCACTCGAGGTTAACCCTTACGGCGTATAACCTCTCCCGTGCATACCCACCACAGGGAAAAGCGTGAAAAACCTGTGGCCATGCGAGTGTGCTTTCATCATTCCACAAGTACAATATCACCGCGAGAGAGTGTGGTGTGTAGGTCTGACTGGATTCGAACCAACTTTCTCCTGTCTTGAATGGGGCAGGTGTTCAAGCTACCCAGTATCTACTTGGGAGAACGGCCCGGATGGTGTGCCACTGCACCATCCAACCCAAGGGGGAGAGATATACATAATCAATCCAACCCAATCGAACAATTGTTCTCCTTACGTACTGCAGTACTCTCATTACTTCAAGTGAACCTATTAACTTGTAGTGTATGACCTTTGTCATACCAACAATAAATATTTGAATGTAATTATTAATATGAAATGTGAATAATATATAGGATACTAGTCAAACAAATAATTATTGTCTTATCAGCAAAAAAGATTCTTTTTATCATCACATCACATCACTCGAATTCGATATCCACGAGATATAGCCAAATACGAATGTTATTTTGGTTATCACTAATCCCTGATATTATATTTGCATCAAATGAGTTATCAATATTTCAAAGAGAAGGAAATCTTCAAAATAGAGGCTTCATTTTGCTCTCATCAGTTTAGTAGGAATCTGTAACATCCCTCAGCAAAATAATTCATAATGATTCAGAGCTATCATCAGACTCACGTCTCTTTTACTGTGAATCTATATCTCGGACTGTAAAAAGGATAGCTCAATATCAGATCAAATTTGATATGATTAAAGCAACAAACCTAAAAGCCGGCCATGATATAGTATGAGTACTAATACTGAGGGAAAATATTCTTTGACCTAATTTCTACAATACCAAATATCGACGGAAAGTTGTAAGTACACTAGACTGTCCCAGTTCTCAGATCAAGTGAGGAAGGCGCGATCCGTCAGTTATGATGACCAAATCAAGGAGCATGTAATCTATACGACCACTCATTGTTTAAGCTACAATACCAGTTCACTCTATCTCTATTTGCCAAGACTCAGTTGATTGGATTTAATTTCAATGGGAAATATAGGCAATTGTCACATACGACGCAAAAGTTTAAACCATCACGCAAAAACAAGACTCCCTCAAACTATTGAACCTTTAATTTACTAGTCCTAGATTTTTGGAAGAGGGCTAAATTCTGTGCGATTCATGAAAGAGCGATATAGTGACGAACTATTAAACATCGTGATGGTTTTGTTTCTGAAGATATCTGATATTTATTCCATGATAACAACATCAGATGATACGAAGCACATGACAAGTTTATGGATGACCTTGATAAATTCCAGCATTATTATGGCTTGTCATATACCTAGTATCTCGTTCCATCGTCAGTCAAGCGGAGAAATAGATTAATTTTCACCATTTGATGGAAGTTATCCTTGCAAAAAAGCTGTGTGGGTACTACTGCTGGAAAGAAGTAGTGAATGAGGCATGGGAGAGAGTACACTACCCGAGGCATAGATAATCCTGGCCTGTAGGCAGAAAGAACCTACATGTCCTTACATAGTCATAGACTCATTAGGACAATAAAAACGTACGTACGTATCCTTTCAAAAATGGTTACTCTGTTAGGTCCCAGCCAATAAACACCAGTAACCCAGTCTGATGTCCCCGTATTATGATGCTATGACCTACTCGTGTGTATTTACACATGTGAAAAGGATGACGCTCTACGAACCAACCCATTTTTGACATGGTGGATTACGAAAATGAAGAGTATTAAAGGCGCTCCCATCTCATTCTTTCGTCTCTATCTTTTCTAACATAGACAGGTCAAAATTTTCGGAACAACGCTCACCAGCTTTGCAACACGCTTTCACAATCATACTTATTTTTCAATTTTATAACTACAGCTTATCACTGAACATATCGAGCTTTTACGCTCTTCTAAATTTAACTCGCTCTCACCCATTTCTACAATCCCACCTTGTCACACTTCATCAACCTTACCAATAGTCTTTATATTCATCGTTATACCTACAACTAGTAGATCGGATAGCTGGAAATATTTCCAGCTCACAGTAAGATATCTCCTAGAAATGTTAATATGAGGGTAAATGTTTTCACGATTGAAAGACTAACCATTAGTGGATCAGTCCAGAACTTAAACGTCATCAATAGCTTCAACGCGCGACTAACACGCAACTAACTACTAACCCAACCAGACACTCACACGACCCTCTAAATACTTTAAACATTAAACTATAAACCATAACCGTTTATTCTTCTTTTAAACTTTACAATTTCGTATCATATATTTTGAGTCTGGTTGACCATAGTCGTTTATTTCTAGAGATAAACTCATTGAGACTTACTTCACATCTAAGTCTCTTGGATAATTATTTCACTATAAATTTCCTGAAATATTACTTCTATAAATTCATAGCCCTTTTAAGTTTTGACTCAGAATTTATATCTGTCATCCCGACTAAAGAATTGCTCACAAAGGTAATTTTATCATAAAATTCTGATAGATATGTTTACCCAAGTTTCTTACTATCTATAGTTGTGTCTTAAAGTCCAGTCTTAGCCATCTTTTGGAGTAATAATTACATGTAACTTTGAAAAATGGATCTCGCCATGCAGTTCCCTTACTCATATATGGCTATGAGTGCCGAAAACACTCCTCGTCCATATCCAGCTGAGATTATTGATACGCCGGATGGACCTTATATTGTCGGCACTGGAGCTCCACTCCGGTTCTTTACTAGTGCTTATTTTGACGATCCTGCCATTGTTTCAACGCAATTGGGCGAAATGGAAAGGAATTCTTGGCCAAAAAGCCTGCTGGACCTCCCACATCCTTTCAATCATGTTGACGTAAGGAGAAAGGCGGAGAAGGCTGCCATATTCTTTGTTGAAGAATTTCACATTGATAACGTGCGTCATATAAGGCCACCTATTTCGCTGTGTGACTTGTTCCAAGGATTTGATGCTGTGGAACTGTACATGCATGGTATTGAATTTTGCTACTATATCATGTATTACATTGGTAAGTTCGCTCAAGAATACCAGAGCAAGATGAATCAAATGATTGATTCGTACACCAAAAACCTTGTTGAAACGAATAAGAAACATCTGATACGGTTACCACTAGCCGAGAATAGTACGATAGAAAGGATTCTTCATCGAGTCAATTATAAAATTACAGAACGGATGAATAAGATGGAGGAAAAGTTCTTTTGGGAGCGGATCTTTCACTATAGAAGGATGCTTTTTCATGTTAATGAGAAAATTAATCCGCGAAAAAGACGCCTCGAATCATCATTTTCTAACATCTGGCCCTGTTCAAATGATAGTCGGATCCGGTGCACTAAGTATGAGCATGAATCTCGGCGGCATTTGAAGCAAAATCAAATGATCAATGAATCCGACAGTTCGTTGTCAGTTTCACCGTCAAACTGAGTTATAGATGGTATGAATCAGCTGACAGTTAATATGTAGGGACTTAATTACGAACCCGATGTGTCGTTTGGAACTAGAGAATCCTTCAACTGAGAAATATACTTTGGGAGCATCATTTGTTAAATTCCGAAAATTTAAAAATTGCAGGCGAATCAGAGACAGGAAAGAAAAAGTGCCAATTATCACCGAGGCAAATAATCCAGTAGTAAGTAGTGCATATTCGAGAATACCAAGGCCAAAATTTTCAACACCGCTCTGGTCTCAACGGATTCTGTCATCTACTGCATCAAAGAGAAAGGACTCGAAGTCGACTTACATTCCATATGTTCGATCATCAGACCTTATTTCGGGTAACTCGAAGATACCGCGATTGTTGTGCCTGAAATCCCAGGCTACTGTTTCTGGCTCAGCTACTTCCAGAAAGCAGCCGACGAAAGCAAGTGAATTGTATGATGGAAAGAAGATCATTACACAAGCTACTGGGCAGTTTAAAAACATGCGAAAGCGGAAATTATCGGCCCAATCTCAAAATTCATCGCCCCTCAAACCTGATAAATTGAAAAAATCTCATACTTCGTCATGAGAGGTAGAGTCTATCAAAAAGGCTGGTCACTTAAGTCAGAGATACCAGAAGAAACTTTGGATATAAAATAAATTAGTGTCACAGATCAACTATAGAAAGCAGGGAGCATTTGTATGGATGATGGTATATTAACAATTCAACTATGTAGAACTAAGCTACAGATACTTAGCCAGGTATTTATACAGATTACTACACTCCAAGCCCTTCCATCTAAGGTCAGTTCATTTCTAGATAATTCCAGTTGCAACTCTGAGAATATGGTTTCTAGTAGCTTCGACAGTGGTTCTGGTATGTTCTGCAAGGCTATTGCGCCGGCCCACCCCCCTGGTGGTTATACGCCAGTACTTACCATTACTGGCTACAGGAAAATACCGGCTTCTTAGCCGTTACAATTAGATATAGTGATCGTGTTATTGGGGGAAAAATAAAGTTTCAAGACACAGGAGCTTACAGTATCATTGAGCGTGGGAGTTTGGAGTCTGTCGGTGCAAATTGCGGATTGTGTTAGAATTTAGAATAATTGGGGCTATCAAGTAGATCGTGTTGATGCACACGTGACTAAAAATTCTGTACTTTTTTTGCATTTTCTGTACTCAGTATTGTTGAGACTTAATATATACATTATTATTACGGGGTAAATAAAACTTGGAAAGCAGCTAAATTCTATCAATGCCGACATACTGGACGTCAAAAAATAAGTTTCCAGAAAACTCCTCTTACTCTACATAAAAACCTGACAAGGGCCCAAAGTAGCTTAGCAATCCAAATTCGAAGCGAGCATATTGGGCTCAATTCGTATTTGCATAGAAGAAAAGTACCCGGAGTCTACAGTCCAAGCTGTCTATGTGGCTACCAATCGCAGAATCCCAAGCACATGATTATGCCCTGCCCTCGATGGTCAAATGAAAGAGGTGAGATCTGGAGACAAGCCAAAGATCGGTTCTACGAAGCGGTGATAAACAATCCTGGAGATATCAAAAGGATAACACAGTGTGTTGGGAATCTAGACTTAGTATGTATGAAGGTTTAGATTTCTAGGTATGATCATCAAGATCGATTGTGTTGATTCGATCGAATGTAATTAAGCTCAGCTAGGCGAAATGAAGTTCAGTGGCATCTGGAATGCAGTGGCTAGGAAATGCTACCTTGCGATAAATGAGTGGCTGGTTGTTGCTAGATCACTGGGAGTTCGGGATCACTAAAGACTTGGGGATCAGTATTTAAGGATAGACTCATTTGTACATGTTAAACTCATTTAACGGAATATTATATATTATGAACTCATATTGAGATGAGAGTTCTATATCCTATACAACTGTCAATAAATCTTGTCCGAAATTGTACACTTGTTCTTCGAGATATTTCCTCCAAGAAATCCTTGACAATTTATAAAAGATTGCGAGTGTATTATCTGAATCATGGATAACTTGAGCAAGTGGTCGGGTGATTTGGGAGCGAGCCGATAGACAAGTCTGATTGAGAAAGGTCTACGAGTGAAATTTTAGTTTATGAATATTATCGATTGCCATGTTTGTTGGTAAAACACGAAGTAATACAAATTGAGTACCGTCACGAAGTCGGTGAATAATGTTAATTGACTGATATCTCGAAATACACAAAACGTTGTCTCTCCTTGTTCTCCATCTCCCCTTTCTTCCTCTACTCTGTCGAACTTTTTGAGCTGGTTCGGAAGCTGTAATGATTGAGACTAGAGGTATCTGGAAGAATAGCTCGCACAGGAGCTTTCAATTGAAGTAAATAAAAAGATGTAATTGTCTGTCTGTCTGTCTTCCTTCCTCTTTCTCTCAGCTTATATATCTACACATATCTACTACCTGACGTAAGATGATAATATCTAGAAATAGCTTACTTACATCACAGGATACAATCCAAACATGTTGAAGCCAAGATTTAATCCCAAACAGACTCAATACCAGTCTACCACGTCTGTTACACCGACGCCAAGCATTTTCTAGCTGAAAATTACCCAAAACGCCAAGGTTTTCCTGAGGCAATCACAATTTATGTCAGGTACCAGCTTGGCATATTATTCTGACAATAATGTCACGATAATGTTAGAAGAATGGAATTTACATGAATCACGAAACATTAATTCAGGAATACTGATTCTACCGGGTTCTGATACTGGTCTGACATACTCCAAGCGCCTCGCCAATGAGCTAAGTCTGATCCCTGTTAGTGTCCTAACGACAACCTGAATACCGCAATAAGATTAAACAATTCATACTGCCCAAATATGATCCTTTACTGATAATGTTACTAACATCAGACGGAGTTATTCCTTTCTGTGATTCATATTTGCGATTTTCACCATCGACTTGATCGAGTTTTAAGATCGAGAAATCTTTGTACATCTTATTTTTGTCCTTAAAACTGCCATTTTTCAACCTTTTCGTTTGTTTGAGATCATCTGACTCCTATTCGGTCATCTAGCTATGAGACATGATTTTTGCTATGTGTACCTTTTATATAAATCTTTTGGTATTGGAGACTCTCATTCTCTGGATTTCAGTCGTAAACACCACTACAAGGTGTGCTTAGTCAAACGAACAGTTTAACTTCCATGGGTATCAATCAAAGGGAATTTACAAAATATTTATTTATCCAAGCATGTCTTTGGCATCCGTGCACACCCGTTCCGCAGGTAGAGTAGTAATATGATGGACGATTCGAGCTTGCCATCTCCTATCTCAAGTGCGATATGTATCCGAGCTATCCAAGGTCTACTAAAAGTACCGGCCCAGTTGATGAAGTACCGCAACATCTTGTCGCCTGCGCTCTCGCAATCGAATTCTTGACGCGCCAATGGCTTAGTTTGTAAAGCTCCTGGCCAACATTTAACAACTCACCCTTTCGAATTGGATCAACACTCTGCATCAGATAGTAAACTTGCGCTCCTATCTCTAAATCTCAATCTAAAGAACTATCTCCCAGTTTTATTCGCCATCATTTATTTTCTTTGGCGGGTATTTATATTCTCGTTGGTTTATTAGGGGGACCATTTTGGGCCACAGACTATTTGACGAGTGGTGTGGTCATTGAAGTAATAATGTACAACGTTTTACTTGCAGACTTGATTCGACTTTGGTGGAATCGAAATAATCGGGAGTGGTATTTTGATTTGGTCAGGATTTGTGAACCATTGCTTATGGGCAAACTTCATCTGCACCGCAAACTTTTACTGAACTCGGCTATTGAAGAAGATTTTACTCCAAGGCTCGTAGGGAACACTGTAAAGAGATATCGATTATTTAACAGTCTTTGCGTTCCCGTTCCTAGAAGCTATCAATCTTTTTGCTCTTCATTCAGTTTCATAAACCGATGAGTTCCACGAGCCCGTTTTGATAACAACTGCGGTCTCCATCTCTGTCGAACATTTTAAGCTGGTTCGGAAGCTGTAATGATTGAGACTAAAGGTATCTGGAAGAATAGCTCGCACAGTAGCTTCCAATTGAAGTAAATAAAAAGATGTAATTGTCTATCTGTCTGTCTTCCTTCCTCCTTTCTCTCAGCTTATATATCTACACATATCTACTACCTGACATGATGATAATATCTAGAAATAACTTCCTTACATCGCAAGACACAATCTAAACATGTTGTAGCCAAGATTTAATCCCAAACAGACTCAATACCAGTCTACCACGTCTGTTACACCGACGCCAAGCATTTTCTGGCTGAAAATTACCGAAAGCGCCAAGGTTTTCCTGAGGCGATCACAAATTATGTCAGGTACCAGCTTGGCATGTTATTCCGACAATAATGTCACGATAATGTTAGAAGAATGGAATTTACATGAATCACGAAACATTAATTCAGGACTACGAATTTCATCGGGCTCTAATCCTGGTCTGAAAATCTCTGGTGCAGCTAATTACTAATGTTCAGTTGAGCAGGTATATTTGTAAAATTATTACAAAGAACAGCGTTGAAGTGATATTCTATGACGAAGAATGGTATCAAATAAGAATAATTTAAGAGCAAAATATAAGATGACTTTGGGTGGAGAGAAGACCCTCTAACGCCTAGATAATTACAAGCAGGAAAGAACCACAAGCGATTTCACCACGACAGGCAAGAATGTCACAACTTGGACACTATCAAATCACCTGGACCTTTATGGACCCATAAATATACATTCAATTCCAATCGATTGTCTTGCTTAGCAATCTTGGACGCTACTTTGAAAGTGCGTAGTCACAGTAATTATATGAAAACTAAAACTAGCAATTTACTCATTATTAATTTACCTGCGAAAATTCGCAATATTTACCATATCACGAAATAAGGTCAAAATTTGAGCGTTCAAACGAATAAGGTAATCGAAGTTTATCCTGATTTCCTAATGTTTTAATAAAGCATTCACTTCTGCTGTACAGATCAAATTTATGTGTAAGAGAAATATATTCTGCAGAGTTGTGACTTAGTGGGCCCTAGATGGAGATCAAATTTAAGCCGCATACAGTGAACGGAAGGAGTATGTACCCTACATCCTGAAAAATCAGATGGTATTAGTCTCAACCTTCCATAAGATTTTAACGGAGCGTTATTTCTACCAAAAATGAAGTTTATTCTACAAAAGCAAAACCTGCGCCCCATTAACTCCTTTGATCCTTTCCATTGCCAAAAATTACCTATCTTGCATTTGCAAAATACTTCACAATGTAATTTGCACCGATAGACTCCAAACTGCCGCCATTAATAATCCTACTCGCCTCTTTCTCCTGAAATTGCTTCATTGTTTCTCCAATATCCCAATCACTCTATACTATAAAAGCTATACCCAAGGTTTCTTTTGCCATACTCGATTTACTTGACCAATCTTTTTGATAGGCTCTACCACTCCGCAGGGAGCTTGAGTTTTTTTAAATCTATCAGTTTTGGGTGGAGAAACCTTTTGAGATGGAACTGGTAAATTTGGCTTTCGGATATTTTTCGACTGCACAGTAGCTGCTGTGAAATTTTCTTTTCTTTCATTT